GGAAAATGACAACATATGATCTTGCGAAGGGGTACCACATAGGACTGTGTTGGGCTGCATTTACTTAACATATTTATGCATAATCTGTAAAAGTGAGTAAATAACCCAATAATGAATTATTAAATGGGGTAAGTGCTGAGAATATCACTAAGGACAGTGAAATAATATAAATCACCCTAGAGAAGTGAGAAATATTGACAGGTAATAAAATAAGAATCAAGCTGGACAAAGTGAAAAATACTACATTTGGGGAAAAATAATCTGAAACAATGGAATTTAATAGGTACTAAGGGCAGAATGCTCAAAGGGAGTCAGGCACCTAAGACCATATTTTAGGTGCTTATATCTTAGTTTTAGCTCCACTGTGATGTACAAAACCCCATGACAAATCCTATAAGCACCTAAAATCACTCAATGTCTAAGTTTTTACAATAAAATTTCCCTAGGTGCCTGAATTTCTGCCTTTGGGCATGCACATGGCCAAAATGGGGTAAAGGAGGGGTGTGTGGGGAATGTTGTCAATATGAAATCTGTAGCCAATATTCTTGGAGAAAATGAACAATGTGACTGATCTGGCCAATTTGATTTCTGAACCACAGAGAAGTTTCAGTTCATCAGGACTTGTTAACCACATTACCCTACCTGATATCCATACCTGCATGAAAGAGCAAAGTTGGGAAGCTAGTTATGATTTGCTATTGTTCTTGCACTGAATTTCATAAACCCACTGACAACTTTTCACTGTGATTAACCTGTGATAAGATCTACAGGCCCTGCATGTGGGGAGGCAGCAGCTCTCTCTACAGACCTAAAAGTCTGAGCTTGATAAGTTTATGGAGGGGATGGTATGACAGGACTGCCTACAACGGCATGTGGCCCATCGGCAACTGCCAATAGCAAAAATCCCCAGTGTCCGGAGACAGGACACTAGATGGCGAGGGCTCGGAGTTACTACAGAGAATTCTTTCCTAGGTATCTGCCTGATGGGTCTTGCCCACGTGCTCAAGGTCTAACTGCTCGCCATATTTGGGGTTGGAAAGGAATTTCACCCCAGGTCAATCTGACCTGGGGGATTTTGCCTTCCTCTGCAGCATGAGGCGCGGCACACCTGCAGGTTTAAACTAGTGTAAATGGTGAATTCTTAGTAATTTGAAGAATTTAATTCATGATTTGAGGACTTCAGTAACTTGGCCAGAGGTTAGGGGTCTATTACAGGAGTGGATGGGTGAGGTTCTGTAGCCTGTAATGTGAAGGTCAGACTAGATGATCACGATGGTGCCTTCTGCCCTTAAAGTCTATGAGCCTAAAGGTCCCAGGCACATCCAGGAACTTTGATGTAGTGTCTGATTTTGAAATCAAGGGACATAGGATGTCCCAAGATACTGAGGTCAAAAATATTTCTATTAACGTGAGTCAGAGTCCAATATGATCCAAATGATCCCTCATCTCAGTCAGTGCCCAGTGTCAGTAGGGACTGAAAAATAATCTGCGCTACATAGATAAAATTCTACTGCTTTCTCTAGATCTCCCTTGACTTCATTCATCATTCCTTTGAGATATTTATATGCTTCTCCAAAAATGTTCTCTTATTACTAAAATTATTTGGCATTGTTATATACCACAGCTCTTAGATTCCAGAACAATTAGACACCTTCAGGAAACTAAGATAGTGATGTTGAAAAAAGTACTACATTTAGGAAGGAAAAATCAAATGGGACATAACTGGCGAGGCAGTACTACTGCATAAAAGGATCTAGAAGTTACAGCAGATCACAAATTTAATATGAATCAACAGTGCCACACCACGACAGAAAAGCAGATGTCATTCTGGGATGTATTAACAGGAGTGTCATATGTAAGGCACAGGGGGTAATTGTTTCACTATACTCTGCCCTGGTGAGGCCTAAGGTGGAGTAATATGTCTGCTTTGCGGCAACACACTATAAGAAAGATGTGGACAAATTGAAGTCCAGAGGAGAACAACAAAATTGATAAAATGTTTAGAAAACCTGACCTATGATGAAAGGGTAAAAAAAATGGGCCTGTTTAGTCTTGGGAACCTGATAACAGTCTTCAAATATGTTAAGGGCTGTTATAAAGAGGATGAGGATCAATTGTTTTCCCTGTCTACCAAAGCTAGGACAAGAAGTAATAGGCTTAATCTGCAGCAATTGATATTTAGGCTAGACATTAGAAAAAACTTTCTAACTACACCCCAGAATTATATTAGCCTTTTTTGCAACTGCATCATATTATTGACTCATATGCAGTTTGTGATCCACTATAACTTCTACAACCTTTTATGCCTAGCCAGCTATTCCAGAGTTTGTATTTGTGCATTTGATCTAACCTTCCTAAGTGTAGAACTTTGCACTTTCCTTTATTGCAGTTCATCTTACTGATTTCAGACCAATTCTCAGATTTGTCTGTCATTTTGAATATTAATCCTTTCCTCCAAAGCACTTGCAATCCCTCCCAGTTTAGTGTCAACTGCACATTTGATAAGTGTATTCTCCACTTTCTTATCCAAGTCATTCATGAAAATATTGACTAGTACCAAATGCAGGACAGACCCCTGTGGGACTCTCTAGATACATCCAGTTTGACAGTGAATCATGGATAACTACTCTTTGAGTACAGTTTGTCCATTACTTGTGTACCAACCTTATAGTAATTTCATCTAGAACACATTTCCCTAGTTTGCATATGAGACTGTCATGCGCAAGTGAGTCAAAACCTTACTAAAAGAATGTATATCATGCCTCCTGCTTCCCTCCTATCCACAAGGCCAGTAACCCTGTGAAAGAAGGAATTAGATTGGTTTGGAATAATTTGTTCTTGACAAATCCATGTTGGTTCTTATTTTTATTACTGTATTATCCTCTTGGTTCTTACAAATTGCTTATTTAATAATTTGTTGCAGTATCTTTCCAGCTATTGAAGTTAGGCTGATTGGTTTATAATTCTTCTTTGTTCCCCCTTTTAAAGATAAGGTATTCTGTTTTCCCTTGCCCACATTCTGGGACCTCATCCATGCCCTCTGAGTTCTCAAAGATAATCTAAGGTTTCCAATATTGCTTCATCTAGTTCCTTTAGTACCCTAGGACAAATTTTGGCAGACCCTGATGACATGATAACAGTCTTCAAATACATAAAATATTGTCATAAAGTTGATGGTGATAAATTGATTTGCATGAAGTCCCTTTCAGCCCGACAATTCTATGATTCCATAACTAGAATGACTGGAAGTAACATTTTTTTCCCATCATAAGAAAGGGTACATTGATGGGGACTGTGCAGTTGTCACAGGTGAAGAGGTATTCTCTGGCAACTGCATGGATGAAGATTGCTATATTTATGAGTAGTCAGTTGTTTCATCAAAGCCTGACACATTGGTACAAGAAGGAACATGAAAACCATGACACCTGTATCTTACACTGCGAGTTAGTGTGCAGAAGTCAAGGTGTGAATCTACTGCATTTTGACTCACTATGTAGACAAGACTTAAGACAACACCAACAGGAGCTTGGCCAGAATAAGAAGCAGATGCTTAAATCTGCTAAACCACAAACCATTCAGGATTTTAACCAGCCAATCAGAGCACTCACAGCATCCCAACTGGCTGTCTTTCCACTACTAATTCAACTGTAGTTTATTGTGAAAGGGTAAGTAGTTCAAAAGCAAATACATTTTCAAAAGCATTTTACTACCTGTGTCACTAACAGAGCTGGAAATGGTCAATTTTATGATTTTGTTTTATTTTTCATCAAGAAGATCAAAAGAAAAACATGTTTATAATTAATAATTTAAGTGAAATGAATTTTCTCATTTCAAAATGTCAATTTTAAATGATTTTTTCTACATTGCTTCTGAGAGTTGAACTGGGAACTATTGGATAGGTACCCAGAAAGCACTGTGACTGGAATGGGTTTATAACAGTGGTAGCATGGATGCAGGGCAAATTTGCAATGATTCTTAATATTAATCACCATGGGAAGTGAGGTGACACTGAATCATTTGTGCTTAAACCATGTCTATTCTCCTTTTTAAATAACAAACAGTTCCATTCTCTGGTGGAGAAACAGCCTGTGTGTTTGGGAGGTGAAGAGTGGGACTACCAGAGTTGTTTTTCTCAGATATTGATGTTTGGTTGCAGACAGTTTCCTTTAAAATTGGGTGACCAGGTTAGCAGCATTGGTTAATCTGTGAAAGCTCTGCAGCATGGAAACAGCTGTAAATTGCTGTGTTGGGAGCAGGAGTGAAAGTGAGGTCTGCTGTTTGTATGACAAGGCGTAGAATGTGAAGAAAGTAGAAAATACAGTAGAAAGCCTCTAAATATTATGGGACTGGGCAGTGTTGTTGTAGCCATGTTGGTCCCAGGATGTTAGAGAGACTAGGTGGGTGAGGTGATATCTTTTATTGAACCAGCTTCTGTTGGTAAAAGAGCTGAAGAAGAGCTCTGTGTAGGTCGTAAGCTTGTCTCTTCCTCACCCACCTTGTCTCTTTAATTGTGGGACTTTTTTTCCCCGCTTTATATTGTCTGTACATACACACACACACACACACACACACACATAGAGTAAACAATTAATTTGCTAATATGAGTTAATCTGGAAGTAAAACTGTAATGTTTAACTTCAACATTAACTCATATTTGTTCACAAGTAAGTAATGAGGAAGTTACTTACTGGTATTTAACTCTAAAAGTCTCCTTGTTCTGAGTGCTCTGGGTAGGGTGCAGGGATTCTTATGAGTAATGTGAGTAAGCTACTTCCCCATGTATAAAGTATAAGACTTCAAAAGACATTCATATTTCCTCTGTTGGCTGCTGCAACCTTCTAATAAAAGGACAGCCAGTCTCTCTCATGTAACAATAAAGAGAAAGAGTACATAAACTCAGCTTGAGACAAAGCAGTAATTGCTCACTGTGAATTTTTTCCTTGTTTGATATATTTTTTAAATTTATAATATGTTTTAAATGTAAATGAAGTTGCCACGAAATGTCCAGTCTGCTGCACCAGAATGCTGGAGAATCCAAGGAACTTGCTGCAGAATTTAATCTCATCTTGTCAAGGGGTATATGGGTCCTTGTTAATACGTCTTAAACCTCTATGAGAACTTTTGGGATGAAAGGAGCTAAATGTGATTCTATGAGAGCTGGTTGACATTTTTGTTTGCAATGTTTCCAATAAAAATTGACTTTTTAAAAAATGTAACATTTTGGGGGAAAGATTTTCTTTAAGCATCTATTTGTTAATTGAAAAAAACAATTTTTAAATGTTTAAATATTCATATTTTCATATTCCCCTCTTGATCCTCCTCTTTTCCGATTTGCCACTGAATACAATATAATGTATCATGTCTAGATTTTTCCCCACATTTTCCTTTTTCTGCTGTTCCTTTTTCCTTTGACCGCTCTAGCTTTTGAAAACGTCCTCAACTATGGAAAAGTTGCAGAACGGCAAAAGGAAAAATTAAACACCATACTGCAGTTCTTCCAAATTTGTAGAAGTTTTGCAAAGTTACAAAGTAATGTAAGGAAGAAGGAAAACATGAAAAAAAAATGAAGGGAAAAAACCCTGGACATCATTCTTTTCATTGCATTCTATGGCAAAAAGGAAAACTAGGATAGAAAGAAAATCAAAATTTTAAAATTCAATTTAAAAAAACAAATTCTAAGAAAATATTTCATGGATAATTTTGTAAAAGTGAAAAATTGATCAATTTAAAACCCTGCAAAATGGAAACAATTTCAAAATATTGGAAAAAAATAGCTTAAAACTCATAATTTTGCACCACTGTGAATTTAAATTGATCAAATTTAAAAACTTAAAAATAAGATAAATATTATCCATTGAAATTATATATAAAAAAAATGTATTCTTCCAAGCCTATCTATAGGACACTGGGGAAAGGTTCCTATTTCATCACAATGTCACTTAAGCACAATCACCCAGAAGTTGCCTATTGAGCTGTATACAAATTTGTTTTCTTGTCTCATATAGTAACTTAATTACCTCACCATTTAAATCAGGGGTGGGCAAATTTTTTGGCCCAAGGGCCACATCTGGGTGGGGAAATTGCATGCAGGGCCATGAATTTTTGGGCTGGGGCAGGCGGTTGGGGTGCCGGAGGGAGTGTGAGGTGTGGGACGGGGTGTGGTGTGCAGGAAGGGGCTCAGGGCAAGGGATTGGGGTGCAGCAAGGGTGTGGGGTGAAGCAGGGGGCTCAGGGAAGGGGTTGAGGGCTCAGGGAAGGGGGTTGGGGTGCAGGAAGGGGTGTGGAGTGAAGGAGGGGGCACAGGGCAGGTGGTTGGGGTGCAGGAGGGGTGCGGCAGGGGGCTCAAGGCAGGGGGTTAGGGTGCTCAGGGCAGGGGATTGGGGTGCAGGGTGCAGGAAGGCCTCGGGGTGCAGGATCCGGCCCAGCGCTGCTTATCTCAAGCAGCTCCAGGGTGGCAGCAGCACACAGTGGGGCTAAGGCAGGCTCCCAGAAGTGGCCAGCATGTCCGGCAGTGGCTCCTGGGGGTGGGGTGGGGCAGGTGGCTCCACCGCATGCTGCCCTTGCCTGTGGGTACCACCTCCAAAGCTCCTATTGGCCGCGGTTCCCCGTTCCGGCCAATTGGAGCTGAGGGGGTGGGGAGTGCCTGCAGGTGAGGGCAGTGCACAGAACCCTCTGCCCCTCCACCGCCAGGGGCCGCAGGGATGTGGTGCCAGCTGCTTCCAGGAGTGGTGTTGGGCCAGGGCAGGCAGGGAGCCTGCCTTAGACCCACTGCGCAACGGGGCTGGAAATCCCGCAGGCTGCATTGAGAGCCCTGATGGGTCAGATCCGGCCCACAGACTGTAGTTTGCTCTCCACTGATTTAAATGGTTCCAGCTAGAGTTTGAAGTTAACATCCTGAGCATAATGAGTGTCATTTGAATTCTGAGAGGATAGCCCCTTTGCGCTGAATTGTTTGTGTTGGGATAGAGTTGTACACATTTCCTGTGTTATTACAACTGGTATTGTTCATTCCAGAGTTAATAACTCTTCATTTCTCCACTGTCATGCTTCTATCAGGTTACTCAGAAGTGTACTCAGGTTACTTCTTCTCTAGGAATACAGGACAAGGACAGATACACCACATAAACATGTGTTCCAAATTTTCAGCTTCTTCCTAAGGATCTACAGGTGCAAAGATATCCTTCCTGGCCAAATGCTCCTGGTGCTTTTATCTTTAGAGAAGTATATCACTGCCATAAGTCAAATGCACTTGTGCTATAAATTCAGAAAGGTGTGATGATACTTACAATGAATGAGATTATATAAATGTGTAACTTTTTAATTCTTCTGTGGTACAGTGCAGTACAAGCAGCAAGAAAAATGTATAGTAAAGAAATTATTTTTGGGGGCAACTCATGTGACACACAGTTCTCTCCTGTTCTAATGTATTATGATTTGTCTTTAGAGAGGGACTCAAACTGAAAACTTGATCCAAAAGCCAATCAAACTTGGGGAAGTTCAGATCCATATCAGATTTTGCAATTAGTCACCTCTCTACTAATTTCTTATCTTAGCGCAGCAAAATACAGTCTTAAATTTCCACTCTTATAACCCACTAGAAATGAGAAAGAAAGAGGTGATCTACACGAATACAAAATGTCTCACTCCTCCTAAGCAGCACTTGAATCAAAGACCTGAAAATGCAGAAATCAAAGGTACAGTAAATTATCAAGCGGCTGATATTCTGCCTTTTGTTGTACTGTCTTTAGTTAAACAACTTACTACTTCCTCTGCCCCAAGAGAGATTTTAAGGATATTAAAATAAGAATGTCCCTCTATTATATTAATCAACACCATATTAGTGGGGAGATAAAAAGCAGCACATAGCACAGAAGCAGAGAGGTTTGCAGATGAAGGGCTCTGACAGACAAGACAAATTTGTTGCAAGCATTCTCATTGGCTGCCAGAATTACTTAGCATCTAGTGAATGGAAATGTTGTTTGGTTTTCAGATATGGTCATGTGATATCTGACTTCAGATACTCAGAGCAGTGGCTCATTCTGCCCATATTTATGTTTCCTGTTTTCTTGTTAGATTCCCCTGCTCCAGCTCCTCCCTGGAAGATCATTGCAGTGATTCTGGGGATCTTCTGCCTGATATTGTTAGGAGTCTCAGTGGCCTTGGCTATCAAGCGTAAGTATTTTCAATAAAGACACAGAGTCTCTGACCTGAGCCATTATAAGTATTTTATGGTTCCTTTACAGATCATTCCTGTCCGGGATGCCCTGACCAGTGGGTACGATATAGAGACAGCTGTTACTACTTCTCCAACATGAAGAAAGATTGGAATTCTAGCCGGAATTTCTGCTCTGCCCAAGACTCAGGGCTCTTGGTAATCAGTGACACCAAGGAAAAGGTATATGACAGTAATGCCGCCAAATCTGTAGCAATCTGATTGGCAGATGTGATAGTTTGGAGCTCTGAGGTAGGGCTGGTTGAAAATTTTCCATCAAAACTTTTTTGACAGAAAATGGGTGTTTTGACTAAATGACCATTTTCATATCAAGTTTCTGTTTTCCTCACAATTTTTAGATTTTGGAAAATTGAACACCCCAAAACTTAAAATTTTGGGAGTTTGACTGAAACGTTTTGGTTTTAATCTGAAAATTTTCAGTTTTAAGTTTCTGAAAATCAAAATATTTCTAGTTTCTGTTGGTTGGAGTTTTAGATGGTGTAGCGAGTGGTCACCCTGCTCCTGCCCAGAGGAGTTAAAAGCAGCCCTGGGGAGGGCTGTGGCTGGGGAAATGCTGATTGGGGAAGCTGCCTCAGCTGCGGCCATGCCCCAATCAGGGCCCAGCTGGACCTTATAAGAGGGCACTGGGCTAGGAGCAGACAGAGTCTCTCTCTAGCTTGCTGAGGGAGAAGGGCCTGGCTTCCTGGGAGCTGAACAGAGTACTTAACCTGGAGCAGGGCTAGGGGAAGGCTAGAGGAGCTGGGGGAGCTCCAGCCTGGAACCTCCCCCCCCCCAGGCTGAAGGCCTTGTTAAAGGCCGGAAAGGGTACTGGGGTTGCAGAGGGGCAACCCAAGGGTAGGCAGAGGCAGCAGGTCCAAACCCCCCTTGCTGGTGATGAGTGGCATTTACACTGCATTCTGACCCAGTGAATGATTGAGACTGGCAGTAGCCATAGTCTGAGGCGAGGTGGGGGTTCCCTGGGGAGGGGAGACCCAGATCTGTGGGGGTACTGCCAGGGGGCAGCACCCCGGCCTGAAAGGGGCACTGGGGCACAAGAGGGACTCAGGCCCAGCAGGACAGTGGGACACTGGCCTGCAGAGGGCACTCCAGAGGCTGGAGAGCTAATTCCCTGGACGACCAGCAGGAGGCGCCACAGGGGTGAGTCCTGCCTCATGACCGATGGATAGTCAGAATTTTCCATTTTAGTAGAAATTTTCTACAGAAAATAATACCATCTTTGGACCAAATCTACCTATGAGATTATGGGAGACTGACATTTAGTGCAGAGTCCCATATGATTATGGGAGTACAGGCATCAGAAATGGAGACCTGTAAGATTATGGGATGAATGACATCTGGTAAAGAATTGTTTAGCCCCTTTTGTTTCTAGTTAACAGACATGCAAAATGACACAAGTGAGTGCTGGGACATGCTCCTGCTCCTCTACATGCACCCTGAAGGTGTGGAATCTTTGCTCCCCTTCACCACCAGTTGGGATCACCACTAGTTCCCAAATTCTCAATTCTTGTGAGTCTTTCCCACAAGTACTATGACTCAATTGCTGACTGAATATGACTGAAATTGCTTGGCTCACAGAGCAGGTCTTAGTTGGCGGGAATCACAGTGGTCTTTTTGAAAGGTTGGAATATTTTACTCCCTTACATTATGTTGCTGTTTTTGCCCAGGGTGATTCTGTTCAACTCCTTTGTCCCTTCTGTCCTCCTTCCCCTTGTAGAACCTGTTCTTGGGGATCCATACAGAAGAACACTGGATTGGATTGACAAATCTCAGTGGCTCTGGCTGGGCCTGGGAAGATGGCTCAACATTCGATATAAGGTTGGTTTGATTCAATTTTAATTTTGGGGTTTTCAGTTGTTTTTAAGTCCATAAGACAGATCCTGAGCACCTTACTCAGTGTTTACTCAGGAAAAAACTCCCTCTGAAGTCATTAACCAGAATATGGGTGGATTAAAACATGGGCCTGTTTCTCTTTTGGCAGGGAATCTTTCACTATTCTTCTCTGACCCAATCTGTGTTCCTTTTATGTCTTTTGCAGGGTCACCTCTAACAGCCCTGTGCAGCACTGTGGTGTCCTGGTGAAGGGGGCCCTCCAGGCCTCCAGCTGTGCAGTTCCTTTCCCATGCATCTGTGAGAAATCCTCCAAGTAACCTCCTGCTGCACTTTCCCACCGAATAGTCTTCACTCAGACTCAGCCAATGGACCTGAATCATGAACCCATTAAAGATGCTCCTTCCTTTGTTCATGTGGGATAGGTTTGATACTGTTCCTAGATTGTTAGCAGCATGCACTGCCTTGTGGGAGACCAAGATTTGATTCCAGCTGTAATGTAGGTATACAATTGTGTCTAAGCACCTAGTGAATGCAGCATCAGCTAAAAAAGCTAAAGTTCTTGTTAATACACATATTGTTGATGATCTTTGTATTTATATTTTCAGCACAGTGGCTCAGACTACCAGAAATTAAAACTTGTTTAAAAAACTCTATAAAGGAAAATAATGGGACAATATTACTTATTTCTCCTTTAAAGATGATATCTCACTGTTGAATTTGGAGTGAAGTAAGCAGCATAAGTAGGATTAAACTGGATTTTTTTTATTCATTCACAAAATGTTAGTTATACTGTGTGTCTTTTCCTCTTTCTTTAGCAGGCTTGCTCTAGTGTTCTCAAGTGATTATTACATTTACTCACTCCTACTCTACTCAATTAACCTTTAGATACAATACTTTCCCCAAATGGAGGGAAATACTCTGGCATGATTCATATTTCAAGCTAAATAGATTTAACATTTACTCCCCTTTTTTCTAACATTTACTCCCTTCAGCAATTATTACTTATACTTAGATATCCCCTTTAAATTTTTTTTTTAAAAGAAGACTAAGAGGAGATGTGATAGAGATCTGTAAAACAAAGAATGGGACAGGGGAAGCCCTTCAAAAGCATCTCTTAGCTTGCTCCTATGATGTAATAGAACCAGAGGATTCTCAATGAAATTAAAAATAGTACATTTTATCCATTTACAATTTACAGTATTTCATTAACAAAATGTAAAATTAACCCGTGGAATTCAATGCTTCAGGATATTCCTGAGTAACACATTGTGAAGCAATAACCCCACTAGCTCAGTAATATTAGAACAAGGATGAGACAATTTTGGATCTGATTCTCTTCTCACATTGGTTTTACTCTGGAGTAATTCCACTGAATTCAAAGGACTTATTCCTGACTTGCACCAAAATAAGGAGAGAATCAGGTGTAACAGTTTAGGAGGAGTGTGCTGAGGTAATATTATGTGTAACTAATACACTCCCTTTTTATCTGCGCCTCAGCCCATCTGTCTGTTGAAGCACAGGCCAGAGCTCAGTCTTTTCAGGACTTAGAAAAAAAGGATTACACAGATTTAAACCACTGAGAGAGAGTGCCATAGAATTTCTTAAGGATGAACATTTAATATCGATACAAACATCTGCAACCAGAATTTGGAATACTTTTAAAACTTTGCGTTATACAAAACTAGTAAGCAGTAACTCAGTTGGCGTTTTCCCACACAAACTTCCTCACTTTGTTTCTGTTATATGAATTATAGTGCCAGCTGCACACCTTAGCATGCACACACGCATACACTCTGACTTCTCAGTCTCTGCAGTATGCCATCAATAGTGCATGTGTCACTTGAACGCCACAGAACCAGATGGCAATGGAAGCTCCACAGTTTTCCATGAAACTCCTCATGGCCAACTCCACTTCTGGCATCAACAGTTGGCATCTCCTCAGCTTTGAGCAAGATGGGGCATCTGTAATCTGGATCCAAAGTGGCACAAGGCTCTGGGATGCAGCTTTCTCAGTAGACATTTCTTAGTGTTGCATGGTTCAGCTGCTGAGGCCACAGGTCAGTCTCTTGCTCCTTCTGTTCATACTATTTTCCCCACTCCGCTCTTGGTGGATGTGTGGAACCTGGCAGACAGTTTGGCCTTAATGGAAACTCTCTGCACAACTTCAGAGGCAGTTACTAAGCATACATACCCAGAGATTACTATACCTCCCCACCACCACCTCTAGATGGTTCTGGGGTTGGGCCCTTCTAACTAAGTGTCTTGTCCTGCTCTCTGCATATGTGTGGACTAGAGATATGTAGGATTCAACAAAAATTCATGTCTCCTCCCCACTGCTTTCTCCCTTACATTAGACTTAAAAAGAATTGCTGCAATATGAGCCTGTGGGTTACCGCAGCATTTACAGCTAGAGAAAAAGATAGCAGGACTATAAGGTTCTCATTCTTCAGGGCATTCGTTTATTACCCACTGGGGTGGTGGATTGCAGTGTCTGGGTAAAGAGGGCTGAAGATGCTGACAGGACTGGTGTTGGTGCTACAGGTGATTTAATTGTTTTTCTCCCCAGTCCTTGTTTTAAATGCTTCAGCACTGGGCCTTCAGATACTTCACTTGGGAAGACAACTTCCCATCTAAGAGACCCTCAATGTCAGGATTTTTTTTCTGATGTCTAGCCTGAAGTTTTTCTTTATTCATTTCATCCCATTATTCTTAATCATAATTCAGTGTCCCCACATAAATAATTCTTTCCCCTCCTCGGGATTCACAACTTTAAACTCTTTGTACACTCTTCTCATATCTCCACTTATTCATCACTTAGCCAATCTTGCTAATTTAGTAGACCTGAAACATTTTCCACAGGAAAATGTCTTTTTCTTAAAATCAAAACTTTCCCTGGGCAACATATCAATTTTGTTGAAATTTTATTTTGAAAAAAAAAAAAGAAATTAAGCTTTTTCAAATGTTTGTTTCCAAGTGAATTTTCATTTAAAAATTCATTTAACTTTATATTATATTTTAAATTTTAAAAACTTGAAACTGGAAAAAATGTTTCAGTTTTATCAAAATGTAACATTTCAAGCTACATTAAAAACAATCCTCAAAAAAATTCATTTCATAAGAAATTTTGAAATGTCTTGGTTTTGTTCTTATTCAAAACAAAGATAAATTTCAGAACATCAGGACTTCCTGCAGAATGGAAATTCCAAGTTTCAACTACCTCTAATATTTAGTTATTTTAATCTTTTCTCAGAATTCCATCCCTTTAGACCCCTAATCATTTTCATTGTTCTTCTCTGAACTCCCACTAATTTGTCAATATCTTTCCAAATTCCAGGGGTTCTTTCACCCAAATGAGGAACAGAAAAATATAAGGAACAATTGAAAGGATAAAAGTGCAGAGAGATCTTCAGTTCTTTACAGTCCAGGGACTACGGGTCCATCTACACTGCAGTGGGGTAACGAGTCTGAGAGTGTGGGTCAACTGACTCGGACTCACGGGGCTCACACTATGAAGCTAAAAAAAGCCTCGCCAGGTTTCAGAGCCCAGGTTCCAGCCTGAATGGGAACATCCACAGTGCTATTTTTAAACCCATGACCCAGATTCAATTGATCCAGGCCTCTGAGACTGGCTGCTGCAAGGTTTTTTGTGTGTGTGCGTGCGTGTGCGCGCAGAGTAGATGTATCCTATGAGTTGTAAAACTTGTGTTTGTAGAATAGATAGCAAAAGGCCTGTCCTGGATGGTAAAAAATGTAAGGTAAAATGTGCCTTATCCAAAGCCCATGGATATCAATGAGGCCTGGTCTACATTATGAGTTTAATTCGAATTTAGCAGCGTTAAATCGAATTAACCCTGCGCCCATCCACACAACGAAGCCATTTATTTCGAAATAAAGGGCTCTTAAAATCGATTTCTGTTCTCCTCCCCGACGAGCGGAGTAGCGCCGAAATCGATATTGTCATTTCGAATTAGGGTTAGTGTGGTCGCAATTCGATGGTATTGGCTTCCGGGAGCTATCCCACAGTGCACCATTGTGACCGCTCTGGACAGCAATCTGAACTCGGATGCACTGGCCAGGCAGACAGGAAAAGCCCCGTGAACATTTGGATTTCATTTCCTCTTCGCCCAGCACAGGAGAGCACAGGTGACCACAGAGAGCTCATCAGCACAGGTAACCATGCAGGCCGATAATCAAAAAAGAGCACCAGCATGGACCGTACGGGAGGTACTGGATCTGATCGCTATATGGGGAGAGGATTCAGTGCTAGCAGAACTTCGTTCGAAAAGACGAAATGCCAAAACGTTTGAAAAAATCTCCAAGGGCATGATGGAAAGAGGCCACAATAGGGACTCGGAGCAGTGCCGCATGAAAGTCAAGGAGCTCAGACAAGCCTATCAGAAAACAAAGGAGGCAAACGGTCTCTCCGGGTCAGAGCCGCAGACATGCGGCTTCTACGCTGAGCTGCATGCAATTCTAGGGGGGGCCACCGCCACTACCCCACCTCTGACTGTGGATTCCGAGGCGGGGGTAATCTCATCAGCCACACCTGAGGATTCTTCGAACGGGGAAGAGGAGGAGGAGGAGGACGATCTTGTGGAGAGCACACAGCACTCCATTCTCCCCAACAACCAGGATCTTTTTCTCAGCCTGACTGAAGTACCCTCCCAACCCTCCCAAGCAAATACCCAAGACCATGACCCCATGGAAGGGACCTCAGGTGAGTTTACCTTTTAAAATATAAAACATGGTTTAAAAGCAAGCGTTTTTTAATGATTACTTTGCCCTGAGGTCTTGGGATGCATTCGCAGCCAGTACAGCTACTGGAAAAGTCTGTTAACGTGTCTGGGGATGGAGCGGAAATCCTCCAGGGACATCTCCATGAAGCTCTCCTGGAGGTACTCCAAAAGCCTTTGCAGAAGGTTTCTGGGCAGTGCAGCCTTATTGCATCCTCCATGGTAGGACACTTGACCACGCTATGCTAGTAGCAAGTAATCTGGTATCATTGTATGACAAAGCCTGGTAGCGTATGGTCCCAGTGTTTGCTGGCATTCAAGCAACATCCATTCTTTATTTCGCTGTGTAATTTTCAGGAGAGTGATATCGCTCATGGTAACCTGGTTGAAATACAGGAATTTAGTTAAGGGGACAGAGGTGGCCCTTCCTACTGGGCTGTTTGCCTGTGGCTGAAAAGAAATCCTTCCCTGTAATAAGCCAAGCACACGGGCGGGAGGGGGGATTGGCACTGAGCTTTTCACATGTGGCTAGCAGGGATCTTCCCTGATACCAGCCATGCGGTGGAGGGAGGGATAAAGCAATCATCCCAGAGAATTGGATGATGGGGGGGAGTTTGTTTTCTGCTGCTGAAGGTTAACAGGAAAACTGCAGCACTCAACGGGCTTTGCTTGGTATGTGGGAAAGGAAGACGCAGAAGCCGAAAGACGATGGCTTACCATGGCCGCATGCAAGCCTAATTCTGTTGCCCGGACCTGCGTCTGTGATCTCTAGCAGCAAAGCCACAGGCACTCAATATTAAGAGGCAAAATGCAACCTTGCACAGAAATCACATGTGCTATGTAATGTGAATAGTGTTGTTTACCATGAAAGAGTATAAGCATTGTTCTGTAAAATGTATCTTTTTAAAAAAATTCTCTCCTTTTTTCCCTCCCTCCAGCAGCTGCAAATTTTTCAGCCTTTGGGATGGAGGAGGGAGGCTTATCTCAGATAAGGCGTCGGAAAAAGAGGACGCGAGATGAGATGTTCGCGGAAAACATGGAATTCACCCGCAATGAAAGAGCTCATCTGAATGAGTGAAAGAACACGGTTTCAAAGTATAGGAAAGATGCCAGTGAATGTGAGGACAGGAGGGACCAAAGTGAGGCCAGAAGGGACCAACGTGAGGAGAGGAGAGACGCTTGAGATGAGAGGTGGCGGCAGGAAGATCAGAGGAAGCAGGATGCAATGCTGGGGCTGCTGCGTGAGCAAACAGACATGCTCCGGCGTCCGGTGGAGCTTCAGGAATGGCAGCAGGATCACAGACTGGCGCTACAGTCCCTGTATAAACCCCCTCCCCCCTCACCATGTTCCATAGCCTCCTCACCCAGACGTGTAAGAACACGGGGGCGGAGGCTCCGTGCACCCTCTCATTCCACCCCAGTGGACAGCCCAAGCAAAAGGCTGTCATTATTTTAACCTTTTTTTAGTGGCCTTTTCCTTCCCTCCAATCCTCCTCCCAAACCCCACCCGGGCTACCTTGTCAGTTCTCTCCCTCTTTTTATAATCAATTAATAAATAATACATGATTTTTAAACGATAATGACTTTATCTCCTTTGAAAGCAAGCTGTGATCGAAGGGGGAGGGTGGGTTGCCTACAGAGAATGAGTCAATAAAGGGGGCGGGTTTTCATCAAGGAGAAACAAACATAACTTTCACATGGTAGCTTGGTCAGTCAAGAAACTGGTTTTCAAAGCTTCTCTGATGCACCGCGCTTCCTGGTGTGCTCTTCTAATCGCCCTGGTGTCTGGCTGCGTGTAATCAGCAGCCAAGCGATTTGCCTCAGCCCCCCACCCCGCCATAAACGTCTTCCCCTTACTCTCACAGAGATTGTGGAGCACACAGCAAACAGCAATAACAATGGGGATATTGGTTTGGCTGAGGTCTGAGCGAGTCAGTAAAGTGTGCCAGCGACCTTTTAAATGGCCAAATGCACATTCCACCACCATTCTGCACTTGCTCAGCCTGTAGTTGAACAGCTCCTGACTCCTGTCCAGGCTGCCTGTGTACGGCTTCATGAGCCATGGCATTAAGGGGTAGGCTGGGTCCCCAAGGATAACTATAGGCATTTCAACATCCCCAACGGTTATTTTCTGGTCTGGGAAGTAAGTCCCTTGCTGCAGCCGTTTAAACAGAGTAGTGTTCCTGAAGACGCGAGCATCATGAACCCTTCCCGGCCAGGCCACGCTGATGTTGGTGAAACATCCCCTGTGATCCACCAGTGCTTGCAGCACCATTGAACAGTAACCCTTGCGGTTTATGTTCTGGGTACCCTGGTGCTCCAGTACCAAGATAGGGATATGGGTTCCATCTATCGCCCCACCACAGTTAGGGAATCCCATTGCAGCAAAGCCATCCACTATGACCTGCACATTTCCCAGAGTCACTGCCTTTGGTAGCAGCAGCTGAATGATTGCTTTGGCTACTTGCATGACAGCAGCCCCCACAGTAGATTTGCCCACTCCAAGTTAATTCCCGACTGACCGGTAACTGTGTGGCATTGCAAGCTTCCACAGGGCTATTGCCACTCACTTCTCAACTGTGAGGGCTGCTCTCATCCTGGTTTTCTGGCGCTTCAGGGCAGGGGAAAGCAAGTCACAAAGTTCCATGAAAGTGCCCTTATGCATGCGAAAGTTTTGCAGCCACTGGGAATCGTCCCACACCTGCAACACTATGTGGTCCCACCAGTTTGTGCTTGTTTCCCGGGCCCAGAATCGGCGTTCCACGGATAGAACCTGCCCCATCAACAACATGATCTCCAAAGCACCAGGACCCAAGGTTTGAGAGAATTCTGTGTCCATGTCCATGTCCTCATCACTCTCATCGCCGCGCTGCCGTCGCTGCCTCCTCCTTGCCTCATTTTTCTGGTCCTGGTTCAGCATAAACTGCACAATAATGTGCGAGGTGTTTACAATGTTCATGACTGCTGTCTTGAGCTGAGCGGGCTCC